CTGGGCGGTAAAATATTCTGTACAGTTCTGAATGTGCTGACGTAAAAGAAAATGACGGCTGAACGCTTGTGAACAACGGAGCACATCTTGCCGCAAAGCTATCATTTCAGAGAGCAAATCGACTAAATCCACACACAAAGAAGCAGAAACATTGCGAGTTTTTGCGCATATGTAAGTTTACTAGTGCATATATACGCAGCTAAAAACAATTAGTATGTGAGTAGGCATAGTGTGTTCCCAGGTACATTTCCGATTGAGACCAACACAACGTTTCTCAACAATGATTACCTTGCACTTGCAGTTTGCACAATAAAACCTCTACGATTGAAGTATTTTATTGATCTCAAAAGTCGCAGTATAACTGTAATGTCAACCAAGGTTCGTGGAAAGTCTGTCCGAAGAATAACGTGTGCGAAATTGTGTTGCCAACGTTCAGCAAAACTTGTAAAAAAAATTACTTATTGCGTATCTCTAGCATGCTTAGATGCATGCAGTAAAGTAAAAAAAAGTGTCGAATTGCCATCAGAACTGCTCCGTCAGGGCTGCTTGGCAATAGAGCCTAATATAAAAAAATATTCCCGCGGACATACTATAAGAGACATCGGCACTAAGAAATTATTCGCTAAGCAAAGTAAGCAAAACCGATATGTAATAATGAATGTGCAAAAACATGCTACATGCTCCTGTCATTACTCGTTGTAAGCAGAACCGTGCTTGACTTGTAAAACGCAATTTGCAACCTTGAGGGCTACGCCATCTACGCTCAACAGAGATTATTATGACTTCTTCGATCGGGCTAGTCATCGCAATGATGCGTTTTCGAAGACTAGTCCATTCAACTGTGCAACGAGAGGCCGTTGCTCCAAACGGTCACTCCACCCGGGATTCACACGTGCCGCAGTGGTGTAGTGGCTAAGGTACTCGGTTATTGACACGCAGGTCGCGGGATCGAATGCCGGCTGCAGCAGCTGCATTTTAGATGGAGGCAGAAATGCTTGTATGCTCAAGTGCTCAGTTTCGGGCGCACAATAAGCAGCCCCAGGTGGTCAAAGTTTCATAGAGCCCTCCACTACGGCGTCTCTCATAACTATACGGCGGTTTTAGGACATATATCACACATAGCAATCAATTAATCTAGATGGCGCCAGCTACCACCTACTTCAATGCTGTGGCACTTTCACACCTCCAGCTACTTATATAACGTTGAACATCTATCTATCGAAAGTGTTCACTGCTGAGCCGGAGTTGTTTCGCTGTGATCGAGTGTGGTTCGGAGGCTCATGTCAAAAACATCCCCAGGTAGCAAAAAATTCCAGAGCCCCCCACTACGGCGTCTCTCATATTCATATTATGGTTCTGGGACGTCCAACCCCACATATCATTAAATCAATTACCTGACGTTCATTGTATTTTGCTGCGACTACCTTACTTTTGGTGCTCTCTTCAGAAGCATACCCATGAGGAGAGGGGGTCTCATGCACTTTTATATACGAGAACATGTACACAATATGCTCGAAAATACCGCTGATAGTCACGTCACAGAAGAACTGCTGATGCCGGCCGGTGCAGCATCGCGTTTTTTTTCCTCCCCTTTGGCGCGACAACAACAACAACAACAAAATGCGGGGTGAGCACAAAATAACGTGCGCACCGAACTACCCAGTGGTGTCCTATTCTGCACTAATACTGAAAGTCCAGGTGGCCGCCATCTGTGACGTAACCCGAGTGGAGAACCTGTATTTGACGTTACGTGAAAAACAAAGGTATACAGGCACATAATAACAGACGTTCAACGGCGTATTTGTTTGTAAGGCACATAATATCTTGAAAAGCTTCTTGCCGTAAAAACAACATAAAAATTAAATTATTGGTGGTGAGGACCTCAAAGTACTTTATGTTGTGAACGGGCCGCTTTCGTCATCCTGTAAGACCTTTTGTGCCGAAGCTACTGCAGGGTCACAACTGCATGAAGATCGGTCACGTGAATAGCGTATGTGAACACCAGCGAGTATTAGAACCGAAAGGCGGGTGAATGGGAATTATCCATCGTGGGCAGTGCGCAAAATATAAACACAAAACAGAAGAAGAACCAGAGCTTGCTTTGGTTCCTTCTCTTGTGTGTTTTCATTTTGTGCGCAGCCCACGATGGACATACGAGTATGTTCTCGCTGTGCTGAATCGAATTCCGCGGACAGCTGTAAAGCCTATGTTCTCAAGTGTTCCGACTGTAATGGAGGCCACGAAACTCTCTCAAATGATTGCCCAAAATACAGAGAAACAAATAGCCATATTGAGACAAATGGCAAGAGACCGCTTCATCGTATTGCAGGACCACCACAACCGTCAGAAAGCGGTGACGTCGACGCCGACGCTCATCAGCAAAATTCAGTGCGTCTGCATCCCCAGCGCACATTCGACGACCTTCTTCACCTACTTTGTCACCCGAACTCTGCGCGGCTGATATGAAACAGGATGTAATGAGAAGCATGGCTGCTGTGGATTCCTCTAGGTTTGCATCGTCGAAGCCGCAGCCACTCGTATCGGCGATGGCCGGTACAAACTAGAAAACCATGGAAGGCATGGCCGCAGCATGACGCAGCTTGGCCTCTGTTTCCGAAGATGCAGTAGCATGAGACTCACTGTGCATATCATGAGTGTGAGCCCTGAGTACACGACTCACAAGTTGCCAGAAGAAGACAAGTCAATCATCGTAGGGCTTACATCACTGTTAAGCACACTTCGCGTGTTTGGCTGGCAGGCTGAAATCACCGTACGCGGAGTCCGTACAACAGGCACGAGGTGGTCTAGGTCCATGTGCTTGCAAACCTTCAGTAGGGATCATGGCAGCTGGACGCCCTACAGTGAAATTGGATATGTCTAAAATTTTGCGTCCACGGCTGCACAAATCAGCAGTGTGCGTTAAACTCACCTGTACCTTTCGTTTTTTATGTTTCTTTCTCTCTATCTCTCTTTTTTTCATTTCTTAATCCCCCTTCCCTCAGCATAGGATAGCAAACCGGACACGCGTTGACATTCTTGCCCTTCCTTCTTCTACATCGCTTCCTTCGTTCCTTGCTTTGCCAAGATCATTGTATAGGCGTGTGCTTGTAATGCCGAAGGCGGTAATCTGCATCTAGGTGGGCATGCGAAAAACGTCAACTATGGCAAGGTAAGTGTGCGAACAGTTGCATGTGTCGTTGCCAACCCCACAAAGAAAAGTGAGCTATATACAGCACAGCGACAACTGAGCGAGCACGGCTGAAAACTAGAATACTAGAACAGACCGTCTGTTTAGATGAGTTTGCTCATTTTCAAAAGTTTTGAAATCAGCGCTGATTGTGCCAATATGTGTTAAATTCATCACTATATTCGGAGCAGCAACATGGTATCTGTGCAACTGGTGATATGTACCTAAAACATGATGCCACTAAGTTTAGCGTTTCGGTCACGAGGTGCCCGCAAAGCGTGATCTTGCTGAAGTGAATGTGGCTCAGTTTGATTGAAGCAGGTCGAGAATTTATTTCATGTTTGTTTCGAATCTAGTATTATGAGTATACATAGAGTTTTGTGCGGTAATGGACCCGTCTTCAAAAGAATTACGTGTTTTGATAACTGAACACCTGAGCTGTACGTCAAGGCGTGGGCAAGCTAAGCCCATTTTTCTTTCCTAGATCATGCTCTTTCTTTCTACCTTCAACCTTGAAAAACTATATAAGGGGAGTGTTAAAACTGTAGTTTTGTTTTCCTTCTTGTATCAAAGATAAGTTTACTCGACTACGAATGTGCGTGAACTGTTGTGGTGGAAAGCTTATTCATAATGAAATTAGACAGCGTTTTTCCTGCCCTAAGTACTTTTTTTCAGAACTGCTTCTGAACTCTCCTTTGCAACATGCTGAGCTAACTAGTACAAAACTCCCTATCATAAGGAAGAACGAACGAGCCCTCTTCATGAGTTCCGGGCTCATAACAGTGAGGGGAATGCTAAGAGTACGTGCCGACAGGGACTGCCAGAGCGTAAGCCCAACAAAGTTCTTTCGTGAGGCTTCGCTGAATTGATCACCAAAGAAGCCCGTTCGTCGAGCAGCTTTATAACTTTTCTAATACATGTGCATTACCAAACATTCCTTTGAAATTTCTTACATGTTTGTCGAACCAAAGCAACCTCAGAACTTGAACGTGATGAAATTGAAAAAAGAGTTGGGAAAGCGTATGGGGTGTTCTTGTCTGCGTCATAATTTATCCACAAAAGTAGGAGACTTCAGAGGGGGCGCGACGTTCGGTAGACTCCGTCTGCACATGACCGTCTTTCGACGTGAGCGCAGAGTGTACTCTTGGTTGTGCATCTCGTAGGTACTGCAGACAGTAATGAATAATAGAATGGGCTTTCTGAAGCAAAGTGCAATCATACGATTTATAATGTGTGTGAAGGGTCGTGAGCGTAATCTCTTAGGGCCCGTATGCGCTCCGAGTTAAGTCGGATAAGCATTTTTTTTAAAATTTTGCGTGATTTACAATCATACTCTTTAAATCCCAACATTTCCATGAAAATGCCAGATATCCGTAGCAAATGCGTCACGGTGGTATCACAAAATATACTGCAGCGTTCGCAAAACTCTCGTTGCTTTCATGATTAAGGGCTGTCTACCTTGATTTTATTTACTGATCAAACTCTTTATTGTCTTGTTTCAGATCAGGTTCTTCTGATATTAGAAATGCTTTCCAAAAGTGCGGTAGGTACACTGCACCAGAAACATGCTACCGGTGTCATGTGTTTGGCACGTCAGCGTGAAGTCTATTTTTTGAGAGCCCTTATCTCGACGTTCAGAAATTGTAGCGCGTTTGTTACACAACACGACGCTTTAGAAATCAGTTGCAAGCGAGGATACTATTTTATTTACCTTTTTGTATTGCATATGTTGTAACAATATGAAGTGTCGTACCAACCTTGTGAAGCTACGAGCACTCGGTCCGCATAACCAGAAACAAGAAACACATTTTTGTACTTTCGATGCAAGTTTTATTTGTATGTTATCTCAGCCAATTACAGGATAAAATTTTGTTTCGTAGAATGACTTCAGCAAAATGGCACCTCACAGAGCTATAGCAAAGGCACTCAATGATAATTTTTTCCGAATTTTCTAAACACAAGAGCGAAATACCATTTTATCAATGCAACGAGGTTTCGGTTTAAACAAGGAGTGTGGTAGTTTCACGCTCGTCGGCGATCTCCACAAAAAAGATGTTATACAGAAAACAATAGTTAGCTAACATAAACAACAAAGATGATCGCTCAGCATGAGGATAAAAGAAAAAAATTATTAAAAAAACAATTTATTAACCTCCCAAGAGGAACCTTTTGCTCAAACTGAAGTCAAATTTCCTTAAAGAGATGCATGTGGGGCTCGAAAAGCTTGTACTCTATAATCACTGAACTGAATAAAACAAATGTGTTGCATTGTTTTATCATGGTGTTCATTGAAAAGTTAGTATAATGTCAATAAACTAAGCAAACAACTTTGTTCACGCCAAGGTAAACTGTGACTATTTCTTTTTATGTAATCACATTTCAAATTAATTCAGTGTTGAAGAGCGAAGCAGAGAACATTAGAGCTGCACATGCATCTGAAAGCTAGGAAACGAACAAGAGACTCCTCTCAGCTTTATCATAAGGTATCTAGTTATAGAATATGACAACAAATTATTAACGTATTGATAAATAAGAAACGTAACATATTTTTCGGTGCAACGGGAACATCTGTTCCAAGTATTGCATTCGAATTCGGACTCACACCTTCTGAAGATTTATTGCTTGGAAATTTGGAGCATGCTGTGTTAATACAATGTCATGATTGGTGCTAATAAGCATTGAAAGGCTCGGGAAAGTGAGCAGCCTTTTTTACTAAGTCTCGCACAAAGCAAATGATAAAATCGACTTTTCGGAACCACAGTACGTGAAGGGCTAGTTAGAAAGTCCCAGGCCACTATCCCATGTATTCCTTTGGCAGTGTCACCTTAGAACTTCAGACCCCCCCCCCCCCCCTTACCCATTCAGTGTACCTGTCATTGTGATACCACATGCATTCAGCTCAAGATACTGAAGTGACCCATACTGCTAACCACGTTGCATTAATCAACAAAAACAACTATGGTCCCTTACTTGTAGCACTCGTAGGAAGCAAAAAAAGCACAAGAATAGTACGCTTGCTATAAGTTAAATCATAATGTGTCGATGTGCCTAGACTGAATGCTTTCAGTTTGTGCTGTGCTATGCTTTTTTAAAAAGAGTGTCTACATAACGAAAACGACAAATGTGGCTTAAAACAGAAAACACCATTTAAACTGAAGATACTTTTGTCAATTACGATTCAATGAATGATTAAACAAATTTGGACAACAGGAAAAGGTTGTGCATCACAACGTATAGACTTCTAACTAGTTATTGCGTACAACGAAACAAAAATAGCATAAAGAACGAAATAATCATAGAAGCCAACTCAAAAGAAATGTAGTGCAGCTGGTAGTGTATGCAATGTCCTGTCTAATTCTTGCTTTTTTGCGTTTCGTAGCATGCTGCTCATTCAATATGGAATAGCTGGTCTGCGAAAATGTTTTGCTCCTTTGAGAGCAACACTAAGAAGGTGCAGTTTTAGAGCCGTAATTAGCTGATAGATAATAATATCAAGGACGTATTCTTGAAATTACACATAAATGTCGGGTTATCCTTCGAAAAGCTGAAACGAACATTAAATCAATCAGCAGCATGTGACATGTGCTCCTTTGCCAAGGCATTACCATGCTACATTGAAGCCTTTACTATTCGGTTTTCTAGTTTCTTAACTTTGGATACATGTTACAATCATCAGTCGAAACCAAGTTGCAGAGGAATGTTACTGCTCCTTTGCTTAGATGTGTTTTATAGAGAATCGCAGCACTTCTTAAATACACGTTCTTGGAAAATACAGCGAAATACATGAGAATTTCTAATTAGAAAAGACTATACTCAAAAAAAGTCTCCATGCCGGCAAAGAAGGAAGGAAGACGATACAGAGGAAATGCAGCGATGTCAACCAGTATAGCATAAACGTTATGTTACCCTGCACAGGAGAAAGGGATGGGGTACATTGAAAGAAGAGTCAAGCAAAAGACTAAGCTAGAGAAAGTTTATTCTCTTCTAGTTGACTATGAAGAGTTCAGCAACATATGTAACGCATATAAATCGTGCAAGATATATTAATGCAGAGCCCAAAGGAAAAACAGCTGAACAATCACATAGGCTCAAGACATCAATAAGAACACGGGGAAAGGGTGGATAGGTAGAGGAATTGGTAGTGATGGGTAGAGATTACTATTGTCAGTTTAACAAAGACGCTCACAGACAAGCCTATCGTGTGCAAGCAGCCATTATAGAAGCTTCATTATCACTACCCTATATGTATGACACTGGGAATGACAACCACTCGTTGACAGAGCAACTATGGTTGTCCAGTGTGAGTATATTGCTAAGTGCTAAAATGCAACTAACGATTTAAATCAAGTGGGCGCGCAACTGCCAGCTGTCGCATGCTTTTTAGATAATTTTGTTTATATCAGTTGACAATATGAGGTTTTAGGTGGCAAACGTTTTGACTATAGAGTGGTAAAAATTTTGCATAAATACTAGGAATAGTGTTTGTGTACATGAGGCCAATTTGTTCTATTATGCCGATTGAATAGAATAGCAGAACGCCATTTTGCGGACATTGCCACGTCTATTCTGGTTACGCTTCCTTACCCACCTTGACATAAACGTCGCTTTTTCTCCCGAAGCTTTCGGGTTAATTCTCGAGTATATAATGCCATATTTCACTTTTTCATGACATTGCCACCAGGCGCCTGAGAGTTGTAGTCCAGTATTTTTAAATCGAGAAGAGAAGTCAGTCGTAAGTTATGAAAATATTCAAAAGGAAGAAAGGTAGGAGGGGAGGAAGGACGTTTCAGGCAAGAGCAAACAAAAAATAAACACGATACTTTAAGCCACGTATGTGCACAGTGGTGAGATAGTAAGACCTTTGGCATTATCAGAAGATAATCTACGGCACTAGAAAGGGCAGCAACAACAGTCAGCCAAGCTAAAAGATGTGGCCGCATAAAATTTCGTTCTTCAGATGGCGGATCCTGCAGAACACACAGGACGAAAACACACATGCTTTCTTTTTTTCAACGGTATATTCAGACGCAAAAGCATTGTGGACAATTGTCCTTTATGGCGTTGTGCTCCAGGTAAAGAAACTGTCATTTTTTGTTATTTGTCTTCGCTTTTATTCATCTTTTTTCAGAGTCTGTGCCCTTTTGTTTCTGGAAACATGCGAGTGTGGCCACAACGCTGTTGCACAAGGCGTACTTGCCACTACATTTAAATTTGCCACTCATTTTGCAAAAGGCAGACATTCAAGATAGTACAACTTATTCTGTATGGCTTAATTCGAGCTTTTCGATTACAAAGCAATCAAATTATTACGATGCCAAGACTCACTGTAAGACATTTGCTCTCGTTAACAAATCCTATTAATGCGTTGCTTGTATTTTGGCCCATACAACAGACTTGAAAATCGAACATTTCATGCTGAAAAACCATCGTATTGCACGTCGTGCATTCATGAACACAGCTTAATAGTCGTAGAATCTTTTGCAGCGCAACGGGTTATATACGAATTTATAGAGAAGGGACACAAGACTCAAATCACAACTGAAATAAATTTGGAAAATGAAAGAACATATATAGGAAACAAAGTGCGCGCAGAACACTGCATGATTCATGTCTTGTCTAAGAGGTAGTTTATTCTTCATCTAGAAGAGCGATAGATGGAGGACTTATGCCCTTGTTATTGGATCTAACACGAAAAGCTTTGGCTAATTTTGAGGAATGATTGTTTTCCTTTTAAGTTCTTTCCCTTTTGAAGTAAATTTCAGTTGCGAGTTCAGCGCTGTAATCCTTTTGAGCCCGTATCAAACTCGATGCACTGTAAACTATTGTACGATGAACATCCTACAGTTTGCGCAACTCATGATTATGACGCAGCCTAATTGCAGGCGAACTTGAATGTGAGGCACCATTGCGAAACACAGCAAGATTGAATGCAGAACGTTCGAATTATCTTCGCTGACCAGCAGCTGATGAATTCGGAGAATTCTCGATATCAACAAGAAAACATTGGACTGATATATTGTGCTAAGGTATGTCATGTGACGGAGAAAGGGGGCATATACTAACTGCGCTAACAGGTTATCGCTTTTGTTACACACATGTGAGCTCAGAAGAGGAGCGCCCAATAAAAACAGACGAAGGCATCGGAGGTCCTATTTGCTGCCACAAATTGAAACATCACAAGAGCAGCACGGAGTTGACATATATAGCGAGAAACGTCGCCTTGAGGAAGCTATAACTAAAGTGACAAACAAATTCAGAATATTGGGGGAAGAGACAAAAACAGGCCGTTGTAGTTTTTTACAATGAAACAATTTGTGAAGTTTGTTATAAACACGTTACAAACAGTAACCTAGCGGAAAATAAAAAAATGACATATAGGATTGTTATAAAAAAGGAAGAAGAGATGCCTGCTTGAACCCTACGTGAAACACGATGGAATGCCAGGAGACAGTAGGCAGCTGCGAGAAATTGGTCTCGTTTAAGTCTGCAGAAGCTGCTAAGAATTGAAGAATAATATTTGGCACAGAATACGCGAGCGTTAACATTCAGTCAAATTGAAAGTATTTTATGACTTTTAGGGGAGAAAATAGCAAACTTAATTGAGCATATGAAATGTTATTTGGATTACAAGCAGCTTATCAATATCTTGTTAACGGCGATCCTTTAATCTATTGAAAACTGCAGGAAAAAATAAGTGGACTTTGACTTCACGCACCTTTCGCATAGGGTCGTGGTCCCGGAGGTTTTTTGACCGTGACCTTCAGCAGCCTGAGTGATCGAAATAAAGTTTGAAAATTTCACCCGATATCAGTCGTGTACTCATCATCGAAGGCAATTACAACAGATGTAGGCTGAATTTTTTCTTAATGCTTTCGAGCACGGTATCATTTCATGTTTTTACTTTGAATGGAAGAGAACACATATAGAAGTTAGGACGCAAAGTACCTGTTGTTGGAAGCGAACACAAGCCATCAGATAAGTTGTTGAGGAATCAAGATGAAGTAAACGAGCAGAATAAACGGTACGTGGACGTAAGCAAGAGGGTGATTTTATCTTTGAGCAAGTGCACTGGGACATGTATTAACTGGAAAGTGTACAGAGGATATCAAGTGGAGAAACATTTTAGACTGAGATTCTTAGTCATTCTTGTTTCTTTATCACTGTCTCAGTTAGAACAGTTATCTAGATCAGCGAAGACGTGCTATTCACATCTCCCATACTTGAGTAAAAGTTAGAAATGGATGATTGGTGAAAGGAAAGCAGATAATAATAATAAGGAGGAAACTTAATAATACATTTTGGTGTTTAACGTCCGAAAGCTTGGTGACTAATGCAGCAGATACAACGTAATGTAAAGGCGAATGTATAAAACATGTTTAGTAGAAATCCTACAACAGCGATGATTAGCTATGCAGGTGGACACCCGGAGGCCTACAGCTTTAGCAAGGGCAGAAGTGACACTCCTAAGCCAGACCTACAATATGGTGCCCTGAAAAAAGCATTGTTACATCTGAAGCTTGCAATTGTCACTTGCTTCAATTTTCGCCTTTCGGTGTGACCAACGTTATCTGTAACATTGTCGCAAGCAATCTTTGAAGTTACCTTTGCTAGAGGGTAATTTCATATGCAAGCGAATATAAGATTCTGAATGATAGTATTCTACGTCTGGCACTGTGATGATTGGAGGAAAAGAGAGGGAACGTCTTTAGAAGACAGCCTCTTCTATAAGCTTGCCACACAAGAAGATGTACAGACATGACGATGCTTGGAAAGAATTTTACACTCCGTAAATGTGAACGAAGCGAATGCTTTTTATCGAACGCCGTGAAGAGCTCTAAGCCGGAGAGAGCTCCGGAAACACTGCTCGTCAAAGTGGGAAGGGAGGAAATGTACTTCGCTCAATGCTAGGCACCTGGGCGGCCAAGACCGCAGATTCTTCGCCGAATTCACGAGAGTCGATGCCCAGTGGAAGAAAGATAAGCGGCCCATGAGCAAGCTGAATATGTTGCTTGATATTAGAGGCCTGGCAAATAATCCCGAGCAAGCCTTTCAGGAACCAGCAAGAAACCTCATAAAAAAAGAAACCTGGTATGGCACGCTACCACTGCGTAACTTTGTTGCTTTTTCAGCGAGTTGCGAAAGCGGTAACCCATCGTCTGGCCAAAGACACCTGTCGGTCGTTGCGAGACAAGCGCAGTGCCTTGCACGAGGCAGTGTGGCGAACATATATGACGAGTGTTCGTTGCAGCCGAGTATGCGTTATACTATCAGCATCGTGAGGAACTCCATCATCCCTGCTTGTAGGCGTCCGCTCGACGCACGTCGTCGTCGGTGAGGAAGGGTGCATTCTCGACGCCGATGTAGTTGTTAACGTAGAAGAAGTCTTGCGCGCTTGCACATGGCACGGCGTCCTCAGGGAAGGCGCACGTGAGCGACAGCTGGTCAAACACGGTCTGGTTGCCGCACATGAAGGTGTATTGCTGAGTGTCGGCTGAGCCGTCCGGACGCGTCACCTGCAATAAAAGATAACAAACGGTTTTATTCATGCTTCATTCGCCTTTTTGCTCGTCACCTTCGCTTTACCAGTGACATCGTTTTATGCGTGTATGTGTGTGTGTGTGTATGGGGTGGGGGGTACAGACAGTTACAAAATGCTGAAAAACAAACGATATGGCACGTGGAATACATGTCGCGTGAAAGATGGCGGCTCGTTCTCTCTTCGTGACAGCATTGCGTTTTTTGCAGCTAATACGAATGCAGTTCTGCGGTGGTACAGTATTGAATAATTGAGCAAGTCTCTCTCCCAGGGCAGCCACATTCCTTTGAATCGTATGTCTCTATGTGCTATATTGAAATGCGTATAATTTCCATGCAAAAGACCCAAAAAAGACTTCCAAGATGATTGCTCGAACAACAAATACTGGGAATACAAGCGCCGTGTCGTTTATTCCCAAGTCGAAGTGCTTGTCAAAAACTAAAACTCGTTCAAACTGCAGAGGTGCAACCTGCGTGTATTTTACCAAATATGCACCAAAATTCATCAAATAAGAACCGGTAAGTTTGTTTTTATTACAGCCAGGTGTCTACAGAAATCGTTTCCGATAACCGAATCCAACTTTCTTTGCCAATAATTCGCAACCTGGTGGAACAATGAATGCACCTTGTACCGTTAAGAAGAAAGCTGCTAGTTTCACTGTAAAAAGAAATTAAGAAGAAAGAGAATACAGAGTACGCTGGCAGTGAATATAAAACACACCAGTACATTGTATACGTCATTCACAAATGTTGATGAAGCTTCCTCATTAAAATAACGGCAGCAATGCACTATAGTGTTGTGAAAACTGCAAGAACAGAGGCGCTACTGGTACCTTTCCTTCCCCTTTATCATTCCCTCTTCTTCTCCTCCTTGGCCTTTGCATGGATATATGTTACGCTTAACTTTTGGTCCTCCTCTTATGCCCCACCTTACAAGCACATAATTCCTCCTCACCTTCAGTTTCTTTGCCACCTTTTGTTACAATTTATTAAGGACGACTATGCTATGCTTTTCCATCTTGCCCTCTCTTACTTGTCTTTCACCTTCTCTTCCAACTCAGATTATTCATTTTTACCCATACTCTGCCTTCCCATCGCTTTGCTGTACGATATTATACAAGGCTATGCTATGGTTCCACTTCGCTTTCCACGGCCGAGTTTTCTGTGGTCGCTGGATATGGTGTAACATAAAGCTTCCGCAGCTCCACTGTAAATAAAGTTCACTTATCCCCCCTTCTCCGTTTCCCTCGAGGTGGCGCCACACTCTCTAAATTATTGCAGGCAGCCGTTAACGTGTTTGTGATCATCAAGCCATAATCTCTCTCTGTTGCGGCCATGGTGGCCTTCTCACCTGGTGGCAGACATGGTACACCTGGCAGTTGTTCTGGATGTCGGCATAGTATCCTTCTCCTGGACACCGGAAGTTTGTGGCAAGTGGTGCGTACAGCAACAGCTCGGAGCCAGCCGGAAGCTCGTACGCCTGCCGCTTGGAACGCTTTGGGAAATGGAAATAAAGAAAATAGGCGAAAAACAAATAATTGATGAAGTGGCTCTAAAAAGGCGTCTGATTTTTTATTTATTCATTTTAATATTAAAGCCATCCTCAGACCAGAACAATGGTTAGAAACAGAAGAGAAGCAAAAATTCCTTTCATACAATGTCCAACCATCAAGAAAATGCAACCCTAAACGATTACATAAACACGCATGCTTAGCTTGGCTCTCTGCAAAAGTAAAAAAAAAAGGCACCAGACTTCATGTATGGAAGTAAAGGCTGCGCAAAGTGAAATGGCACACAGAAGAAGAATATAGCAACTCGTCACAAAAAATTCGCCATGTTGCACAATGAATCCAAAATCATTGCAAAGTATACACTGCGCCATAAATGGTTTCAAAGCATACATTCTGCAACACAAACATGTTGAAATTAGGTGTGTGAAAACGTATCAAAAAGTAATTGTGTATGGTCGCGTAGAAACGCTGGCTAAAAACTAAAGGAAGTAGAATAGAAGAACAGGTAGTTCGTGTACTTCGCACATTTATGCGATGTCGTTGATTACTTCCAAAACAGATGTAATGGTGTTGCATCAAGCTGTTTTGATAGTAAGCACATTTTATTTCCTGATAATCCACAAAGAAATGTGAACTTCCTAATGTTTTAGTTTCGCAGTGATAATTTGAAGCTGATGTGCAAGGCTTTACCGAGTTGATCGACAAAAGAAGAGGTTCAGTGTGTGTGTCCTTTTCTATGCCCAGTTGTCCAATATGAAGTATATACACTATTGGCTGATATTAAAGGGTAGTTACTTCTGCTTTTTCGATCATCACACTTGCCGACTCATGCCAGCTAAAAATGTTGAACACAAACATGACTACCTTAAGCTGTATATTGTTCCCGTTTTTTGCGTCCCCATTATGCGCATCTCTGACGACGGATGCATACTCAAACACCGAAGGGATGAAAGACTTATAAGACAACAGCTTTACCTCAAGGAGCGAAGTTTCCAAAGGACGCCTCATATTACCGTGATTCTGCATGACTTTCTTTTTTCTTCAAGTACCAAGGTGCTCATTTCACTTCATGTAAGAACTGATCATTACTGCCCGTTACCTGTTGATATTCACAAGTTATAAAAATGGCCCCTTACTAACAACAATCACTCGCTTCGTCGATGTTAGTATGAGACCAAGATTTGGTGTAATGACTTATTCTTGCCACATTTTTTGCCGGGCAAACTGTTACCTTTATATTTCTTGTTCGTACTCCACATTTGCCCGGTCACTATACGCTCAAGCTCTTTTCTTGCGCCAACTTCAAATGTACTTCTCTAATAGATGATGATGATCAAAACTTAATTACTCCTCCCAAAAGAAGGGACCGGCCGAGGACCTCTCTATTAGACATCAACATCATAGCCATAAGTTTGTTTCAGAAATTCTTCCGCAACAGTTTTCTTTATTTCATGCAAAGTGTAACAAGTACCCATTTTTGTTTGTTTGCTTGTTTATTTACGTACTACCATTTTACTTATTCAGTAACGTCGAATAGAAACGCTGAGGTACGTTTTACCGTCAAATAGAGGTTGGAAGTGCATGAATTTTCAGACGAGCGTGCCTCGAAAAGCTTTTTCGAAATGTTCCTCTCATTTTTGTACTCGGCTGCTGACCCGCAGGTCGTGGGATCGAATCCCGGCTGCGGCTGCTGCATTTCCGATGGAGGCGGAAATGCTTTAGGTCGTGTGCTCAGATTTAGGTGCACGTTAAAGGACACCAGTTGGTCAAAATATCCGGAGTTCTCCACTACGGCGTCTCTCATAATCATATCGTGGTTTTGGGACGTTAAACCTTTCATATCATAAATCAAAATGTTCCTACCTTGTTTGCTTTTTTTATTAGTTAGCCAGTGGTTTTATAGCTCAAAATATAGAATTTGCTAAAGTTATCAGAAAACGAGAACAGCCACATGGCTAAACACGAGAAATCTTTGTAAATAACAGGCCACAGCCAAGTAAGTGTTCTTGTCGCTTCGCTTTGCATAACTCATTAGAAAAAAAAAGAAATTGCTATAGAATGAACATTGTAACGAAAAGGCATCGTTTTTGGGTTTTGTGTACAATAAGCACACTGAGTATGAATATTCACGCTACGCACATCTATTCGCATGCCTTATTGCTTTTTTCATCAGTGACCACCAGGAGAAACATGGCTACATTCGTGGACAAAGAAAATATTCAGCTCGACAAGCATCCATGCTGTTTTCAAGGATGTGAAAAAAAGTCAGAAACGTACGTCAGTGCTCCCGACCTCGCATTTGGCGAGTTGTATTGACCGACAAGACGCTAAAGTAAAACAGTAAATTGGGTTAGACGAAGGAATTGTCCTCCGAAAACCACAGAATCGCCAATCTCCCCGTCAGAGGTTTATTAGGAAATGGCAAAGTCAATGTCAAAATTTTCACTTTTAAATTTCCTGCCTAAATCTTCAATCCTTACATTTAGAATTTCTAATTATTTCTTTATAACCTTTTGAGCTGACTTTTGCTGTCACCATCACCGTCATGTCCTGGATATGTATGTATGTAATATACGTAAAAGGCACAACGAAAAATGACGCGGAAAAAAAAAACTCCAAGCCACCGGCTGGAGACTCGAACCATTGACTGCGGCTCCTCGGCGTTTTTCATTAAGCAACCAGGCCACGCCGCTCATACATGTCATCTCACTGATGGCGAGCTATGCATATACGCACATTACCACCACCTTACTGTCAGTGAACTTAAAATAAACCTTCTTCACCAAAGCCAGCCCTTTGTCTGGACCAGCCATACGTGCCTTCCCTTAAACATTGATTGATATGCAGGGTTTAACTTCCCTAAAACCACCGTAAGATTGTGAGAGATGCCGTAGTAGAGGACTCCGGAAATTTTGTCTTCCTGGGGCTCTTTAACGTGCACCCAAATCTGAGCCCGTAGACCTACAACATTTCTGCCTCCATCGGAAATGCAGCCGCCGCAGCCGGGATTCGATCCCGCAACCTGTGGGTCAGCAGTCGAGTACCTTAGCCACTAGATCACCCCGGTGGGGCTTCCCCTAAACATTGACGTGCCCGATGACTTGATCAATTGAAGGGTGGATTCACTAAAGCACATATGGTAGCATGAAAGGGGCATTTCAAAATGTCTCTGGCTTCACTGTCACTCTGAAGCAACATGAAAAATTGCTCGCATTATGTTCAGAACTATTTAGGAAGTTGCTGGTTCTTACGTGTGTGTGAAGATTGGTTTACATCCAAATAAGCACCGCTACTATCACTTTAGCCGTACAAAGTCAACTTGCTGCCCTAGATTAGTTGTGATGACGCTTGCGCCAATAGAACATCGCACGGCTTCAACGTCACAGTGAACACTTCACCAAGAAGCTTGCAGACTGACGTCATGAACTGCCTGCTGCACAACTTCCGTGTGGTTCGCCTACAGGATGTGCCGGTGACAGTCACTCTAGACTTCAATGTTAATGTACATCGACGTGTACACCAGCGGCTCGTCACGTCTCTCGATACCAAACTTAGATAACGCCTCCTGTTGGCCGTCACGCAGTCAACTATTGGCAACTCCTGTTTAGGAATTGTGGTTACTATATTACTGTCATTTCAAGAACAATTGACCATGTTGACTACATTGCATATGGTAATCCTCTAACAGTCACTTCGTATTACATCCCGATGTGTTGCTATCGCATTCATTGCTTCGGCCTTGTGGCGACACTGTGGCTTTTTTCTTTTAGTGTTCTGGTCGAGTTTCTCAGAAGAAATTTTCTGAAATTTTGACATCTTCTGTATAAGGCATCCTCGGAAGAGTACTCACTTCATTTGAGAATTACGTAGGCCACAGGGAACCGGCTTGTCAAAATGGAGTCGCCGGTAGAATTTTTATTAACTCATTTTCTCGCTCACCGGAGAGTCTTGTCACGTATAAGGCGCAGCGTTTTTGGTAGTGCCAAAGAGCGATCGAATAAGATAAAGAAGCTTAACGGAAAATGATGCTTTTTCTCCACAGCAACCTTTTATTAAACGCGCTTCTCGCACTTCCTTTCCATTGAGAGGCCGCTTGTGTGATATCACAACAGCTCTAATGCGGAGGAGTTCAATTTCTTCGAAGGACTTGGTGCCGAATCGAATATTTATCAATTCAGTTCCTGAACGGGATTGAAATGACAGCTTAAGGTATTTTTTTTACAAATACAACAACATTAGCGTCGGCCAGAAGTGCCAATCGCGATATGCCCCAAAGCACCAGTCGTTACCCTTCAGACATTATGGTTTGCGTTTGGAGGTCATAGGTATCGTTTCAAGCCATCAGGAAAGAGAATGCTCCAGAAAGGCGATGAAGACTGCGAATGCAAGAGTTCTCCCATTGTGGATGTTTCGGGATATAGGCTGCAGCTGCTTCAATAAATCTCTATCGGTTCATCTTGTCGATATATTCTTTATTTTGGCCCTTACTTCCCATGAAAGTTGGCAGAGGCGCGGGGTAACACCATGATCGCTACTGTATTCATTGTTCGCATCATCTTCCTGGATAATTCTTGTTTCTGTTGGCTTGTATCGCATCACTTCCGCTGCTTTCAACCTTGGAAAGCTTACAACTTGACGAAACTTCCAGATTTAAAACGCATTTGCATTTTCACACAACACTTTCCTGAGAGCAAATAGTACACAGCCCTAGGTCATATGCTTTATAAAACATGTGCAATTGGCTAACACATATGTGTACTATTGGCTGATTAGTGCCAAAAGAACTGATGAGCCAAAACATTGTCCGATATTGTCCAAGGCAAGTATGCGCCGTGCCTTACCTTCCGTGCTGGTGTTGTGGCTATGGAAATCGTAAGCATTGCTGCTACGAGCGCTACTTGCCACGATACGGAGGCCATGACTCCTGATGTGAAGGCGATGGGGGCCCCTAAAAAGGCAGGAATGCGCATATTACAACACGGAGGGCATCATTGTTGACACGTCACTTAGATGTCACCGGGTGTCTTTCGATTTATTTGGCCGGCTCATGATTGAAAGAGCTGAAATTGTGAATTGCATTTGTGGAGAGAATGAATGGCAGGAAAAAAACATAAAAAAGTGAACTTTTAAACCTAGTATTGTATTTTGCTGGCTTATCATAGGTCCTCTACCAGGGGGCAGTCTGAATCTTCTTAAAAACTCAGAGCTTGGTTCAGATATCAGAAAAAATAGCATTACTAATGACATCACTGAGACCAGTTAACAAACATATGCCTTTGTTCTCTGCTTCACTTGGCGTCATAGAACAAAGGCATAAAGGTGGCCTCATCAAGTTTAGGTTCGGAATTTACAATCTTCGACGCAGTCTCTATGCACGTGTCACAAATTTCTGCGAAAAATTCAGAGACCTTGAACCTAATTTTAAGAAGTAATTTGCTCAAAGGAAATAATGAGAAAGATATAGTCCCTTGCTGCACGTTTGATCATACACAAAAGTGAAGCTACCTAACTTTAAAATTACCTTTTTCGGAAAATCGCACGCGTCTTACACACTAAATACAATGGAAGCATCACATCCTATTATGCAATAATTATAGCACCACTGTTAAAATTATAGCTTTTACTTTCATGAGCATTTCATTTGAGCTATAATGTATGTTTGTACAATTGGTTATCAAACGTGTAATGTCATAAAAGGAAATATAATTACATGTATACGTATTACCATGCTTAAGACAGAATTCATAATGTACCAAAAAATAAAACTAGAAAATAAAATGTGCATGAAAATCCCACAATTGAAAAGGTCCCAATTCGAGCTCACACGTCCAACTTATAAACTGTGAGGTCACGATAACGCCTGCCAACATTTGCCGCGTTACGCGCCGCAGAAAAAGATTAAACCAAACGCCGCTTGCCCTTCTGGCGGTCATGCGCCCGAAGACGGAGGAGATGACAGGCAACAAGGCATGGCCCGACGCAGTTATCTGTGCTATGCTGTTGTTATTCTATGTCGACATCGGTGCCTTAAGGTCTCTCACAGTAGACGCAATCGAGAGCAAGGCTCAGCGCCTGTGCAGGAAAGAAGTTAGGCTAAATAAAGCTACACGGAGTGAGGGGTAAGAATAACTAGCTCCCCTTCTCACGTCATGGTTTTGCGCTGACTTCAAGATATTCGTTTCCTCTGCCCTTAATGACCAGTTTGTAAAATGCTTGTGGCACAACTTTCATGCCACAACTTCCATTGTCTAGCTATCATTTCTTTTGTGAAGTTGTGGGGGACCCTCTAAAAGTTGTTGGATTTATAAGTGAGAACGTATGACGCATTTTTTTGTCAATATCTTGTTCTTCCTGTTGAAGCGTATTTTATGTATACACCGCAAATGCCGAGTCGGCAGAGGCAATCTTAGGTCAGCAAAAAATGATGGAGCTCAGTAAGACTCTCATGAAATATATTTCACACTTAGGCACTCAGAGTCGGACACAGAAGCACCAACATATTACTCACCTGGACTCGCTCACACTCCGACTCACGACTTGATCTGAATCTGAGTGAGTTCGAGTGAGTTCGAGTGAGTCGACGTATGAGTTAGTTAGCCGAATATGAGTTTTTTCTACCATGGTGTCAACGCTCTTTAACACCACTGTGCCACGCAATCAGTGCTCTTAATAGCACCTTCTAATTTACTGCTTTCAAATACAAGTTATGAGAGGTTTGCTCGCAGTGAAGAAAACAAAATGTACGTGTACTTATCAAAAGTTTCCTTGGAAGTGTTGTCGGGGGGGATGGTGTTAAAGAATTTGCTTACGTAAGTTTCGGCCCTGATTAATATTGAACTGGTGTATTAGTGATACTAGTTCGGATTGCGTGTGAGCAGACGCCAGCATAAACGTGAATCCAGGTAAGGCTAACAGTGAGGCCTAAGATAAGTATATAGGAGCCACAGGTCGGCAAAAAAATTATTAATAAAACTCACTCAGGCACCCTGTAGCATATATCTTGGGCTTTGGACTCACTCAGACTCAGATTCACCAATATTTTCCTGAGCTGAGCTCACTCGAATTGACCCTCGCGAAACGTTTCTTCAAATGGGCTCGCTTGAACTCACTAACCAAAATATTACTCACACGGACAAACTCAGACTCAAACTCACGGCTCGATCGGAGTCTGAGTGAGTCCTATTAAGTGAGCCCATAAAGAGTTCGCTAACCTATGGAGCAAATATAGAGATCCTGTGATAATACATCACTATTTTCCATGTACTGTTGTTCTGGGCATATTTCTTTTGTTCTATGCTCGATTCCAGCTTAACAGCTATGAAGTAGCAGGCGCCTTATTTTGCGTTAGCTTCTTCTTTTACGCCATATTATTAAAAACATTAGCCACGAATCTGCATGTCACACTGCAAATGTCATCGAAAGACTTGCGCCTGGAAAGAGTGAACAAAACGTTTATTTGATGTTCTGCGCAAGAAAATCGGTGACTGGTATTTGGAGGCACTGCGTTAGAGTGACTCGAGCGTGTAACGGAGGCGAACAAGCACATCGAGACAAGTTTGACACGAGCGCCATCTGGCAGTTATCTTCGAAAACGAAGGCGTGCGCGCACGCGGAGAAAAATGCGCATCTGTCTCAGAGGTGATAAGGTGTTGAACGCAAACCGACGGGCAGGTGCCACCACCATGTCGTCTTAGAAAAGCGTTGGAAACACTTGCCTTTTTGAGCATAACGTTGCATTGTGAGCTCAGTGTGATGAATGCTACATTCCTTAAAGTGGCTTGTGTGTGCCTCTTCTAGTATAAAGGCACACATACAAAACATTAACGTGTTGTTATGGCGCCTCAGATGTACGCAATAATTGCTTTTTAATTGACACTCGCACAAGTATGAACGCTTAATCTTGAGCAATGTTGGTGGGCGCTGCGCGTGGCGTTGGCCGTTTGATGCCGTTTGAGGTATCGTTAAGGGTGGACAAACAGACAAATGTACAGACAGACAGACGGACGGACACACCAAAATCTTTCCGTCGAAGGTCCCAAAGAAAGACTATCGTCTTTAAAAGAGCAGATCCCACGTACCTTGGGAATCGACGTTATGCGAGGCATGCCGATGGAAGGACGTTAGCCACATGCTCTACATGCGCTTCCATTACAAACTAAGGTAGGCTGGAATATATCAATACCATGTGATGGTGGTTCCGTACGCGCACATCCCGAACACGCGTACATCCATGACATATATTTACGTCCATGTGTCAGTGCGTAATGAATACGCGTCCAGTGGGCTGTTGACACCTTAACTTGGGCCGAATAACTGTGATATATCAGCGCCATCAGCAAAAGTATAGTTGTTCCTATAATCATCCGAGAGCCCTATGTATACTGAAGTATGACGTCTAGTTTAGTTTATTGAAATTGTTCGTGTCTGTTATGAAGAAGTGGTCAGTGACACCTCCATTCTTCTTCGTGGGCACGAGACAGTCGGAGGCTCTGTCTACATAGAAAACCTCTTTCATGTATTGTGTGAACCAAGTCTGGCAGTGTTTTGAAACATCCACATTAGAGTCGCCAGCAATGATGAGGAGTGGTAAGCGGTAGGCACTTAAATGCACGGATGTGACCACAGTCCCACATATGCCAATATTGAAGGTTTATTGTCTTTTAAGACCTGCAACACCAATTAAAAAAAGGACTGGACGAATTTTAAAACTCATATGGAAAAGCAGTGGCAATCGAAATAGGTCACTCGACCTAGGGGAGACAATCAAGACTACGACACATGAATTGTGGCACATCGTGCAGTCTTATGGGGAACCTGCAACCCTTTATGAAATAGCCACGAAATGGGTTCTCTAAAGGAGCTGATTGCCTGAGGGATTAACCACCGAAAAATATTTCATATCTGTCCAGTACTTGCGGATTTACAAAGATTTGTCGCACGCTGCAATTATATTCTCTCTTCTCTCGTCCCGACTAAAGTGCTGAAACCTAAGCGGGGAGGAATCAACAGTGGAAAGCAAACCCGTACGCGTGCCTTGCCACATTTAGCTCTTTTCCCCTCCGACTTTTCCAAATACGCGCTTCTCGGTGCGATTACGCAAGCATGCGTGGACAAGGCGCGACCTCCTACGGCGGTCGCAGTAACGACCACAAGGCGCGCGCATGCTCAAATCAGCCAATGGCTCACGCAAAGGCTGTACTAATCGATTTTCAAGCTTGGTGCCTCATTTGCAGAGAGAAAAAAAAATTTAGCTGAATTTGAGAGTGGACTCGAGGTCACGCGCTGTGCTATAATATTTCGCTCGTGCGTGTTCTCAGGAGCCTCGGCTACCGATTTGAAGCCTGACAGAAGAAGACAAAAATAAAAAAAAAGAGAAGAAGAAAAAAGAAAAGAAGGCCTTCACACTTGACAGCACTTGTGAGGTGCTGTCTTACTATTTTTCTTTGAGGATCACAGGGCAAGCGCATACAATAGAGGCGAACCTCACGGAGGTGTGCCTGATTGACTGCAGCACAATATTGCTTACAACGTCGGAGTGGATGTGTATTTCATAACTTATAAAAAGGAGTCATACGAAAACCACTCACTCACTCGGTGTGTCAAGATATTTACAGAAATCTTGACAGTCTCACACATAACATTCCATTTCCATGAGGGCATCCTCCTTTCAGCGGTTCTCTCGCACTAAGAACATTGGCGGTTGAGCTCATATGGTGTTTCTAGCTACCCTCACTTTTCAATGAGCGCTATTAGTACATACACAACACACATCGGAAAGGTTACTCTCAGAGGTCTTACGATCATTCGGGTAACTGAAAATACTTGAACGTAAATTTGAACTCAAATATTATTTTTGCCAGACTGTCATATTGAAAACACAGTAGACAAGGCAAATCAGATGTGAGAATTTGTTCGATAAACTTTAAGACAAGCACCCGCAGAGTCTATACTAAACAACTCCACGTATACTCAAAGTTAGTACCGCCTGCAATTGAATATGCGAGCGAGGTATGGAATTTGCATGATAAAAAAAAGAAGGAAAGAAAAAGACGCACAAAATTTAGAAGCCACTCCTCACGTGTCATTTTCTTTACATGTCGAAGACAGGATCTGGTGTCCCTGCTCCATGAGAAGGCTAAGATTTCTTTCCCGAACGGTCGAAGGAAACAGAAAAAGCGCATCATTAATCGCATGGTGCTTATAAACAAGGAATGCGGCAAAACCAAGGCGGCTGCTGACTGGTAGTCTTGAAGAAACGCTCGAAGAGAAGCAGGTATACATTTCCTAAAGATTATGCATATATTACAGCAAAGCTTGTTCAGCTACGCTTCGCCTGATTGATTGATTGATATGTGGGGTTTAACGTCCCAAAACCACTATATGATTATGAGAGACGCCGTAGTGGAGGGCTCCGGAAATTTTGACCACCTGGGGTTTTTTACGTGCACCCAAATCTGAGCACACGGGCCTACAACATTCCCGCCTCCATCGGAAATGCAGCCGCCGCAGCCGGGATTCGAACCCGCGACCTGCGGGTCAGCAGCAGAGTAACTTAGACGCTTCGCCTGCCGTACAAGTCTCATCAAGTGGGTAAGCGCTAAAGGAATATGGCAAACCTCACCACCGACTACAGCTGCAGGTATACGAACGTTAGATGAAAACACTGGTCTGCGAAGTAAAGCATGCAAAAAAGAGAGATAGAAATATAATAATAATAATAATAATAATAATAATAATAATAATAATAATAATAATAATAATAATAATAATATATTATTATTATTATTATTATTATTATTATTATTATTATTATTATTATTATTATTATTATTATTATTAATATTATTATTATTATTATTATTATTATTATTATTATTATTATTATTATTATTATTATTATTATTATTATTATTATTATTATTATTATATTAGGAAGAGGAAGAATAACCTCTGGGGTTTTACGCCCCAAAATCACGATATCATTGTGAGTGAAATTCCGACCGCTTGGTGTTCACATTTAAACGAACATTTAAGAGAAACAGTGATGGTGTTTACATTGATAAACTGCACTATGAAAACCAAATGCCATACGTTTCACTGGCAGAACTTCATTACTAAAGGAGAAAATTAAGCTTGAAATTGGATTCCTAAATCTCGAGCTGATATTTCCACGCGTGACGTTAAAATTTCAAAATGATTTTTGCAACATTAGATGAATGAAATTATCTGGAACGCTGTATGCTAGGTCAATGGCACCCATCGATTAAAATGTGCTTCATGTTTAGCGATTGGAGGCTGCGAAGAACACTTTCAAAATTTATGACGTCACGGTGTGGGACTCCCAAGGTGGCGTGTCCGTCCGCATTTTCTTTGGGCACGTCTTCTCCCTTGCCAAGCGTCGTCGTGAGGTAACAGTGGTGTTTTCAAGATTATGAAAGTGTGCTTTACGAATACGTGAGAAATGGTTTTTGACCTTTGTGTCCCTTTAACGTGCACTGACGTCGCACAGTAAACTGGCATATATGATTTCGCCTTCGGAAAAATGCAACCACCACGGTAGGGATGGAACCCAAATCCTATCGGTCAAATTCTGAGCACTATAACCAAGAGACGAAAATTAAAGTAAATGGAATGAACATATAAAGTTATAGTATGACAGCGAGAAGCATTGATAGAGAAAAAAAATTAGAAACAGAACCGTGAAGAGATAGGAAAGAAGAAAAATTAAGACACAAAGAAAGACAGTGGAAGAAAAAGGAAGTGACAAGGTGAGATAAAGAGAGAAGAAGCAGAAGAGGGAGATGCAAAAGAACAAAGAAAAAGTAAAACAAAAAACAAAGTATGCCTTCGAGAAAAAGAGAGGAAGACAAGAAGGAACGAGGAAAACGCAGGGAAACCAGAAAGGCTTGCATTAGTTATATTTTACATGCACAGGAATGTGGGAGATCTCTAGTGCGCCAAAGCCGACCCCAAGCAGAAGCGCTGGGTGTAACGCTATAGGGAGCGTTCCCCAAAAAATTATTACCGAGCAATGCCTTGATTTTCGCTGATTGCACTTGACTCACTTGATGCTGACAACTTCCTTGTGTTGTACAACGCAATTAGCTTTAATTGACCAGCTGGATTTTTCCCGAGTCACTAATGTGTATCCTTTGAAAATGTATGGGGTGATTTTTGAAAATCCTATTGTAGCGCAACGTCAAGTTATTCGCTAATTGCAATCTAGTAACATGTGCGATAGGAAAACCTGTCTTTCATTTTCGCAACTTCATGGGATTACGCTGGGTGGATTTTTTCTCAAAAGAGCTTTCCCATACCGATAGCGCAAAAACGCAGCAATACAGGGGTAAAGGAATCATCTGTCCGTAAATTGATGAGTCAGCATAATAAAACCTCAACAAAAGTTTGCAGAGGTGATGTACATTATGTCTATGAAGCATCCGAAATTTCATAACTGTAGTAAATAATTACCACTAATGTAACCATTTAATTTAAACTTATGTGGGGGGGGAGCTCTCAATGTAGAAGCACAGATGTAGTACAATACAGAGAGTGTTTCAGTGTGAACAGTTACGATAAGGTGATTGATAACAATTTCATATCATTGGTTTGTGCAGTTTATTCTCAATAATGGGCAGTTTGGTTTAATTACAATCTATAATTATATGATGCCCGTGTGTTGAGTGATACCATACAAAAAGTGTCCGAAATAGCGTACAGATTTGAAAGTACGGTATTCTGAAACTGCCCTGGCATGGCATGACTGCATGAAGAATATAAACGTCAGGTTTTAACATGAAACTCACGACACGTATATTATGAATGGTGTGATCTATATGCTACATTAATAGCACTCTCGCAGCCGTTTCTTAGTTTAAGGTAAGCCAAAAATAGTGAGGCTCGTAAAGAGTGTATGACCAACATAACGAGCAGGTATTAGCAACGATGGCGTATATGCCATTTTTATGACATGATTTATATGCCATCTTCGTGGTGCGCTTGCGGCTGTTTCATTCACTGGCAGGAAGGAAGGAAAATAGGAGAAAAAGAACGGCAGGGAAGTTAACCAGCCTATAGGCATCCGGTTTGCTACCCTGTGCATGGGATTGGGATGGGGGAGATGAAAGATAGAGAGAAGAGAGGGAAGAGAGATAAACACGGCACAGTCAGCAGCACACGCGCGCACATTCAGTCATAGTCCAGTCTTGGCATTCGCGGTGTGTGACATTGCTGTTACAGCCGCTTGTTCAAGTCCGTGTCGCGTAGGAATTTCAACAGAGCTTTTATCGCCTTCTGTTGCAATGTCTTCTCTCAGGCACTTGAAAGAATAGTGTCCACAGACATTTGGGTGTTGTCGATGCGCGCAAGAACGGACGCCAGTGACTGTCTCTGGATGTCATACAATGGATAGTCGCACAGTGTAAGGTGTAGCGTTTTTTCGCAACGACAGGCATCGCAGAGAGCGTTGTGGGCCATTCCTATAACAAATGATTAAGATTTTGTTAATGCCACTCGGGAAGGGTACCAGAGTCTTGGAAGAACGCTAACATCATCTTAATACATAAGAAAGGAGATGACAAGAACTTGAAGAATTACAGGCCGAACAGCTTGCTCTCTGTAGTATACAAGCTATTTACAAAGGTAATTGCTAACAGAGTAAAGAAAACATTAGAATTCAATCAACCAAAGGAACAAGCAGGATTTAGAACAGGCTAGTCAACAATTGACCACATTCATACTATCAATCAGGTAATAGAGAAATGCTGAGAGTATAACCAACCACTATACATAGCCTTCATAGATTACGAGAAGGCATTTGATTTAGTAGAAATATCAGCCGTCATGCAAACACTGCGGAATCAGGGCGTAGATAAAGTATATATAAACATTCTGGAAGAAATCTACAGGGGATCAACAGCTACCATAGTGCTTCATAAAGAAAGCAACATTGATTGATTTGTGGGGTTTAACGTCCCAAAACCACCATTTTATTATGAGAGACGCCGTAGTGGAGGACTCCGGAAATTTTGACCACCTGGGGTTCTTTAACGTGCACCCAAATCTGAGTACACGGGCCTACAACATTTCCGCCTCTATCGGAAATGCAGCCGCCGCAGCCGGGAATCGAACCCGCGACCTGCGGGTCAGCAGCCGAGTACCTTAGCCACTAGACCACCGCGGCGGGGCATAAAGAAAGCAACACAATACCAATCAAGAAGGGTGTAAGTCAGGGGGACACAATCTCCCCAATGCTATTTACCGCGTGCTTACAGGAGGTTTCCAGAAGCCTAGAATGGGAACAGTTAGGGATAAGAGTTAATGGAGAATACCTTAGTAACTTGCGCTTCGCCGATGACATTGCATTGCTGAGTAACTCAGGGGACAAATTGCAACTCATGATTACGGAGTTAGACAAGGAGAGCAGAAAGGTGGGTCTTAAAATGAATCTGCAGAAAACGAAAGTAATGTACAACAACCTCGGAAAGGAGCAGTGCTTCGGGATAGGTAATAGTGCACTTGAAGTTGTAAAAGACTATGTCTACTTAGGGCAGGTAATAACCGCAGAGCCTAACCATGAGATTGAAGTAACTAGAAGAATAAGAATGGGGTGGAGCACATTAGGCAAGCACTCTCAAATTATGACAGGTAGATTGCCACTATCCCTCAAGAGGAAGGTATATAACAGCTGTATCTTGCCAGTACTTAGATACGGAGCAGAAACCTAGAGACTTACAAAGAGGGTTCAGCTTAAATTGAGGACGACGCAGCGAGCAATGGAAAGAAAAATGGTAGGTGTAGCCTTAAGAGACAAGAAGAGAGCAGAGTGGATTAGGGGACAAACGGGGGTTAAGGATATCATAGTTGAAATAAAGAAGAGGAAATGGACATGGGCCGGGCATGTAGCGCGTAGACAGGATAACCGCTGGTCATTAAGGGTAACTAACTGGATTCCCAGAGAAGGGAAGCGGGTTAGGGGGAGACCGAAGGTTAGGAGGGCAGATGAGATTAAGAAGTTTGCGGGTATAAATTGGCAGCAGCAAGCACAGGACCGGGTTAACTGGCGGAACATGGGAGAGGCCTTTGTCCTGCAGTGGACGTAGTCAGGCTGATGATGATGATGATGATGATGATGAATGCCACTCCTACCTATAAGCGATGAAGAAGGGTGGCTTCTCTTCGGTCGAGCCCAGTGGGCACGGGGAGAGAAATCAAAGTGGGCCGGTGGTGTTGACGATTCGTCTCGTTGCTTGGTGGGCACCATAGTGAAAACGTGATTTTCCACGCAAGTCGTCCAAGATTACTGATCACTGGATATGTACTATAATTGGTACTATATACTATAATTGGTACTACGTAATGTCACTGTGTGACAAATATAGAATAAAAGTGTTAACATAAAAATCATCGCATGCATGTCACGTATGACATGACTTACGTTCCACTGTCATGGCGCGCTCGCAGTGGTTTTGTTTCCTGGATAGGCACTAAATTCGCTATGGCAAGATATGACTGTATGACGAACGCAAATAATGAATCTTTTTATAAAAATGATGGTGCGGATGTCACGTACGGCATGATGTGCACACCACGTTCGTGGCGTGCAAGCAGCTGTTTCGTTTGCTAAATATATTTACTAAACTTCATATAACGTGACATGACTGCATAGCGAAGCTAAAAAATTTACAGCATATCGATGGAGTGCATGATGGTGAATGGGGCGCAGCGTCCGTCCGTCCATCTGTCCGTTTGTCCGTCCGTCCGTCTGTCTGTCTGTCTGTCTGTCTGTCTGTCTGTCTGCCTGTCTGTCTGTCTGTCTGTCTGTCTGTCTGTCTGTCTGTCTGTCTGTCTGTCTGTCTGTCTGTGTGCCTGTCTGCGTGTTTGTCATGAAACACCTAATTCGGAATTTCATACTTTCAAATCTGTTTGCCATTTAGGACGCTTTTCGTATGATATCACTCAACACATAAATAGTCTACAATTAATGATGTCAATTAACCTGAAGTCCTTATTAATGTGAACAATAAACAGTACACACTAAAGATATCAAATTGTTATCTAGCACTTTATCGTAACTGTTTACATTGAAACGCTAACGGTACTGTACGACCCTTGTGCTTCTACATTGAGAGCTTCCCCCTATAAGTTAAATTAAACTGTTACATTAGTGATAATTATTTACTACAGTTATGAAATTCTTCATGCTTCATCTAGATAATGTACATGACATCTACAGACTTTTGTTGAGGTTTTACCATGCTTTCTCATCAATTTACGGACAGATGATTACTTTGCCCCTGTATTGCTGCTTTTCTGCACCATCGATATGAGAAGCTCTTTAGAAAAAAAGTCCACCCAGCGTAATCCCATGAGGTTGCGAAAAACAAAGACAGGTTTTCTTATCGTACATGCCACCAGAGTGCAATTAGCGAATAACTTAACGTTGCGCTACAATTGGATTTTCAAAAATCACCCCATACATTTTCAATGGATACAAATTAGTGTCTCGGGAGAAAATCTAGCCGATCAATCAAAACTAATCGCGTTGTACAGCATAAGGAGGTCGTCAGCATTGAGTGCCTCAAGTGCAATCAG